GTCATATTAGTCCAAGAAACTTGGTCTCCATGCCAGATTCAGATTGAAGGGTATAAGTCCTATACCCTTCCTGCCTTCAGAAGTAATACAAGGGATCGCTTCCAAGCAGGATTGTCTATTTTTGTCTCCTCATATCTCTTCTCGGAATACATAACTCTAAAGAAGAAGGAGATTGGATTTATACCCTGCCCTTCACTTGGAGTCTCAGAGCGGCTTACAAACTCCTTTCCCTTCCCCTCCCCACAACAGACACCCTGTGAGGTGGGTGGGGCTGAGAGAACTCTGACACAAACTGCTCTTTTTCAAGGACAGCTGTGCCAGAGCTTGTGACTGACCCAAGGTCACATCAGCAGGTGCAAGTGGAGGAGTGGGGAATCAAACCTGGTTCTCCCAGATTAGAGTCCGCACACTTAACCACTACACCACTACACTTAACCACTACACCAAACTGAGTAGCCCTATGGCACAGGCTATCAAGCTTTTCCTTGGTAAATCTTCTCTAATTATTGTGAATATATATGTACCATCCTCTTTAGACAATGTAACTCTTTCTCAATGTTGGGGACACTTGGCCACAATTATGGAGGAATTAGAGAGAAAATTTCCATCCACAGAAATAATTTTAATGGGTGATTTTAACGCTAGAGTAGGAAGGGATTGCAGCATATTTCTTAAAGCTCTTGATGTCAATCAAGACGATACCCTTCCACCTACTTTTTCCTATTCAAGACATTCTAAAGATAGCTTTTTCAACCCAGAAGGTATATGTCTTACCAGATTCTGCATGCAATTCAACAGATTCTGGGTAAATGGTCTGATAGACTTCCCAAACTCTGGAGAATTTACTTTTGTCTCCCCGAGGGGCTATAGTGTAATCAATTGTTTTAATTTCCCCGTCACTGAAACCGCATGTCAAAGATTTTACAATAGATAATTTTATTATTAGTGATCATTTCCCTCTCATTTTAACTCTTCAAGTTGGCCCTCATACTTATCCTTCTTGTAACCTGATCCCACAACTCTCTGAGACTGATTTACTACCTAGAATCCCTTGGAATGATCGTATAGCAGGAAAAACTCAACAACTTTTAAAATCTAGTCCTCTTCTGGAGTATAGCTCTTCTCTAATAGAAGCATCTAATCCCATAGCAACTAGAACATCTTATAACACTCTAATACTTCATATATCTGAGCAATGTTCCCTCTAAGCTGTGGAGTCTTGTAAGCCAAAAATTCTACTTTGTGAGCTACTGGCATTAAGGTTGTGAGCAGGCAATTTGGCTACTGCATAAGTCAGTTTGCCTTGGAGTCATCCTTCCTGAGCTATGACAGAAATCTGTGAGCTGGAGGCTAAAAAACTGTGAGCTAGCTCACACTAACTCAGCTTAGAGGGAACATTGTATCTGAGTCAGTGTGTGTAAAATCTGACACCTTAAACAAAAGAAATAATAACTTTGCAAACCCTGTAAATCCTTGGTTTGATAGGGAATGCAGAGAAGTAAAAGCCTCGCTACGTAGCATTTATTGTCACTATCGTGACTGAAAAGCTCTAACATTGCCTCCAGAATACTTTAAGCTTAAGAACCAGCTCCGGCAGCTCATTAAAAAAAAGAGGAATGATTATACCAAAAACCAATGGGAACAATTATACTATGCTGCAACTTTAAATAATTCAAAGAAATTCTGGGCTATAGTCTCGGGTGCATTTCGTGCTGAAGATCCCGCCATTTGGTACCAGTATTTTTCAACTCTATTCCACCAAGAGCGAACCTATGTTAGTGAAGCTGTCCATGCTTGTAGCTGCCACCACCTCCTGTGGCAGTGAATTCCATGTGTTAATCACTCTTTGGGTGAATAAGTACTTCCTTTTATCTATCTATTCTAACCCGACTGCTCAGCAATTTAATTAAGTGCCCATGAGTTCTTGTATTGTGAGAAAGCCCGTGCGCTGCCGAAGGCTTCAAGAAGGAAATAGATAAGTATATGGAGCAGAGGCCCATCAGTGGCTATTAGCCACAAGGTACAGACAGGAACTCTCAGTCTGGGGCAAGTAATGCACTGTATTCTTGGTGCTTGGGGGGGGGGGCAACAGTGGGAGGGCTTCTAGTGTCCTGGCCCCACTGCTGGTCCTCCTGATGGCACCTGGTATTTTTGGCCACTGTGTGACAGAGTGTTGGACTAGATGGGCCATTGGCCTGATCCAACATTGGCTAAATGGCTTCTCTTATGTTCTTATGGGTTACTTTTTGCCAACTTTTAATAGTAAAAAAAAATAAGCTGGCTTGTCTGGCCTCTGCAGACTGGGTTCCACAATGACAAAGCCACTATAGTAAAAGCCCTGGTCTTTGTTGAGCTGACAAAGATGGTAATCTTGACTTTCTTGGGTGAAGGCAATTTCCAGTGCAGGACAAAATGGACCAGAACTTTAAACATTAAAAAACAGCACTTTGAATTGTGCTTGGAAAAAACTGAGAGCCAGTGCAAATCTCTTAGAACCAAGTGAAGTTTCTAATCACACACCAGAGTCTGAATTCTCCCCCTGCAATGAGATTATGTCAGAGCTGGTAACAGATGTTCTGGAAGATTTTCAAATTATTTTTTCATGTATAAATCAGCAACAGAAGAGATGAAGTGTCTACTACTTCTGTGAGTAGGGACAAAGCCCCCCACAGGTAGTGATTGAGGGAAGCACATCAATCTTCCCTTTTGGATGTTTTGCTGTTACAGCGGTCTGCTGCAGCTGCTCTAAGTGCAGGAGAAGTCCAACCTTCTGAAGAACACTTGACACCTTTAAAATAGGTATAAAACATTTGGCAGGCACTAGTGAAGCTGACCTAAATATGACAGATAGTACTGTCATGTGCATATCTACCATACATGAACAGGTGGATGTAACACCCTGTGAGAGACATTTACCACACTTTTCTTAGAGAGGTCCCAGCAAGTCTCCCATCTAGGCATTGCCCATATATACTCCTGCTTTGTTGTATCATAGCTGCTGCAGTCAGAATAGCATTAGCAGCTCTGGCTTGGGGAACACCTGGAGATTTTGGAGTTAGAGGCAGAGGAAGGCCGGGTTTGGGGAGGAGGGACTTCATTTGGGGTATAATGCCATGGAGTCCACCTTTCAAAGTGGCCAATTTCTCCAGGTGAACTGATTTATGTTGTCTGAAGATCAGTTGTAATCCTAGGAGATCTCCAGCCACCACCTGGAGGTTGGCAATCCTAAATCAGAATTGCCAAAAGGCACTGTGGACGCCACATTTTTCCCCCCTCTGGACTGCCCCAAGAACACACACGCTTGACTGGGATGTTGATGCTGTTCTCCAGCGGTCCCTTGCCTGGATCTCTAAATGACCCAAAAATATTGTAGCACCGCCCCGTTGTTCCGGTTCTCAACCCTACCCTTGGCCTCTGTGCGGCCTGTCGAGCCCCGATGGGAAATAGAAGCGACTGCAAAAGGTGCTGAGCCGGACGTGGCCCGGTAGGTGGCGCTATTTTGCAGCGGCTGCACAAGCGCGAGGGTGGAGGAGGCAGGCGAGAGCCGCCGGGTGAGGAAGCCGGTAGCGGCTGCAGATTCGCCGGAGCAACAGTTGAGGCGTGGAAGGAGACAGGCCGGGAGCGGTTCGAAGGCGTGAGGCGACCGAGGCGGAACGGGCGAGCCTCGCTGGGCGCAGTGAGGGCTGGCGGGTGCTGTGCCGGGCAAGCGGCGGATCTCAACGGACCCTGGAGGGACAATGGAAGCGCAGGCGCAAGGTGAGTCCTGAGCCTGAGGAAATCTCCCGCTCTTGGTACTTCAGCAGCAACTTTCCCTGTTCATTTAGGACGGAGGTGGCTCACGGCCCCGTTGTTCGTGGGGAGGGAAGAGGACATTTGACATAACCGTCCCCTTCTGTTTTGCCTTCTCTCTGGCTTACGGTGAGCAGATGAACTCTCGGACAGACGCAGACCTCTCTCCCTGGCATCCCATGGCAATAATAAACACCAAATTCAGAAGCTTCTCAGGGTGCCTGAGTGCTTTGCAGTTGAGCAAGTGCGAGAGGTGCTGAAAAAGAGTTTGTCTGGATGTATGATGGTCAGTCCGTTATGCGTTGCTCAGCTGCGGTCTGAAATCACAAGAAGCAAATACCCCATTCCACTGATGTTCCATAGAAAATTGCATGTTAAATATTAAACATAGTTTCATAGGATAGGCATCCTTTCTGAAATTGCTATCCAAGTTCCTATTAAGATTAGACTCTCAGCCAGTAAATGGCTCTCTCTCATAATTTCTTCCCCTCCTTTCTTTGCTTTGCATTTTGTATACAATTTTTATAGTACTCATAATATGCTATAAAATACTCCATTACTCCCCAAACTTCAGACTCTCCCCAAAGAACTGTTTGCATTTTTCAGTAGCATTGTATTTATTCTCTTCTTGGGATGAGAGCAATGGAAATATTTACCTGTTTTTTGTGGAACAGAAGTTCATTTGTTGATTCTGTGTGTGGAATATAAGGAAAGCAATATATAGGTTGTTGTTAAAGGGGGCATACTGACGCTCAAAACACCTTGTGAGGTTTTATTCCATTAATGATATGTTCATCTGCTTAGTATAAAAAACATCTTTACATGAGGGTTATTGCAGTATGATCTCTCTGGGTCGCTGTGTAATAGGTTTGTCCAGTGTAGAGCAAACTGTTGTTATAGCTCCTAAGAATCAACCCTGATAGTAGATCTTGCCTTATTAACTGATAGCTTTCTCCATTTGCTGCTTTTGTGTATGCATCAGATTTATTACAGATTTCATGCTTTTATCAGGCACAGCTGGAGATGGGTAAGCATTAAAATGTTCTTTGTAATTAATGGAAGAATATCTAGTTAAACTAGAGCTTTTCCATACAGTGTTTGCTCTTTGATGACCTCTGTCCTCCCTGTGGAAGCTATAATCCTTCTCTTGTGACTCTGTCATTTGCATGCTTAGCACTGAGTTTCTAGGCCCAGCTGGTCACTGGGGAATGCTCACTGCCTTCCATTTTAAAATGAAGTGTTTCTGTATGCCATGCTGTATCTAAACCATATTGTATGCCATGCTGTATCTAAACCAGGTTTACTTATATGTCTACTTCAGGCAGCAGGGTAGAAAGACACATCCTATCTCGTATCCTAGATATATTGAAATTTTTCTAAAACCCAGGAATGTGCCTAAACCTCCTACCAACACATTATGAAAGAAATATCTACCTTGAAGGTTCTTGTTGCCTAAAAATGTAAGATACTAACATCCTCAAGAGCAAAGATACATTTTTTAAAATGCTGCATTTAATTATTGGTCTAGAAATAAATTTGAATGTAACTTAGCGCTGTTTCACATGCTTCAAGGTAAGGCAGCATCCTTTGTATGATTGCACATGATACTGCCTTATCAGACCACTGGTCCATCATGGTCAGTATTGTCTACTCAGACTGGCAGCAGCTCTCCAGGATCTCAGGCAGAGTTCTTTCACATCATCTACTGCCTGGTTCTGTTTAACTGGAGATGCTGGGGATTTAACCAAGAATCTTCTGCACACCAAACTGAGCCACAGTGCACCCCCGTACATAGGATGCACTGTGTGGGACTTTGATACATAGAAAATCTGTGATTGGTAAAACACCAGAGTGCCTATTTGTATCCAAGGCAGAGGAAGTAGCAGAGGATTGTGAAAATGCTATGGTGAAAAGGATTGAAACCCACTTGTATTGCAGTGTGGCCCAGATCTAGTTCACATACACATTTACTCAGGGGTCATTTTGTAGAAAAAGAGGTGCAGGAGCTCATTAGAATAACTTATTAGCATAACTTATTTGCATATGCCACACCGCCTGACATCACCGGAAGTGTGTCAGAAGGCAACACCCACCGCTCAGATTTCGTAGAAAACGAGGTGCAGGAGCTCATTAGCATAACTCATTTGCATGTGCCACACCCCCTGACATCACCGGAAGTGTGTCAGAAGGCAACACCCACCACTCAGATTCCACTGGACTGTTTTGGATTGCTAGCTATTGGGGGGGGGGGGCGCACAGATCTGCCCTCAAAGAGGAGGGAGAGCTTGTACCTGAAGGCAGGCTGAGGGGGGCTCTGCAACTTACCTGGCTGCTTCTTGCTCCTCGTGGCCCAAATGAGGGCTGCTGGGAGCAGGGGGTGGGGCTTGTTGCATGTGTCCGCCCCCTGGGCTCCTTACTGCTGGAGCTCCGCTCCTCTGTGCTCCCACAGGAAATTACCCCTGCATTTACTTTCCATGACTGTTTAAATACACATTTACTTTCTTGACTGACTTTGTGCCTGCTTGCACCCTTGTGTCCTAGTAAGTATGCATGGCAATTGACTACAAGGATGTACACATTAATATAGAATGTATTGGGATAGAGATGGTGTGCACTATCATCTGCACATCTGTTTCAGTATGTTTATGCATACTGTCAGTTGCAAGTCACAGTTGCAGATGTACACACTGGAACAGATATGGTATATATTCAGTGCATACTCCTAAGGTATAAGTGGCATTAAGCTCAGACAAGCAAAGCAGTCTGCAAATGCCAGGACTTGAGGAACTGTGACTTTACGTAATATGGAAAAAATGTCTACTTCATTTATCAGCAATGGTTATAGTAATATATAGGAAAGCTTGGGCAAAATCACAGTCCTTAATCTACTGTACTTGCTTGACAGCATGGTACAATATTGAATGCACTTGCCCAGGGGTTCAGAATTCACATTAATATTAAGAAGTCACCTGTTTATCCAGGTTGAGCTGCAGTTTATATTAGGGTTGCCATTCTTGCCCATATATTCTGGTAGATTAATGTGTAAATGCTCTGTAATACAGGAAGACTGCTGTGAAACTCAGCAGTGTTTGATTAGATCCACACATCACACTTCATGTGGCATTTAATTATTAATTGTGAGTCCAAATGATAGTTGAAAGCTAGCACTCTCAGTTCACCTCTCTGTAGAGAGTTAGCAAAAGTACTTAACAGTTAAATCTTACTTTGAGAGATTACCCAAGAATACATGTAGTGCCAGTGCTGCTACATTGCATTCTACTTAGGGGTAGCATTATGTAAAGTCCGTAATAGGTCATTTAATTATTATTGTGGTGTGAAAACATTGGGGGTGAGGTGAGGAAAATTGTTAATACTGTTTGGCACTCGCAGAGGAAGCAGGCAGTTCAACAGGCAGCCTTTTGTATAATGCTTGGGGAAAGCTGATTAACAAATGAATACAATTCTTAGCTTACTTCAGTAATTATAAAGATTGCAGGCATAATGGAGTATTCATTTTTGTCTCCTTCCTTCTAGCAAGTTTACTTTTTCAGCATCCTGTTCCATTACTTGGATCAAATCCGTTATTTGCGTTTGCTGGGCAGAAATGCTCTGTGTTACCACGGACATCTGCTCTTTGAAGTTATTCAGCTGTTCCAGTAGAGGGCGCATGAACTCAGCTATAGCCTTTGCCGTCTCACTGGTAGTTTCCGGTTTAGGGGACTCTGGTTTCGTTTTCATAAGTCTCTCTTTGTCTTTGTCCCGCTTCCCCACCATCTTTCTGCCGTTTGTTTACTTTTTGGAATTTTTTTAAAAAGTCTCTGAATATGCGCTTAACTGCTTAGCTCGATTGGGTAAGTACTTCTGGGCAGTTTAATCACGTTTCTCCTCTGCTCCCCACCTTCGCTCGACAGTCTATGCGCATGGGAGGCGTCCCCCCCCCACTTGCTTTTCCCATTCCGGACAGGGAGCGTCTTTTCTTTTAAAAATTGTTTCTGATTTGACTCACGTTCATAGTTGGCCTTCCGACCATGCTTCTTTCATCATTTTTCACGCCCGATCTCCTATGCTTGACCTGGTTAGCTTCACTAGTACCGTTCAGTCTCTCGGCTGGAAGAACCACTGGAGCAGAGGGGAGCCTCGATTTTCTGGCGTTCCTTGGCCAGGGCCCCTTCTCCGGGCCCCTGGGGGGGGTTATAAGCCTGCTCGCCCCCTCCTTCCGCCGGAGAACGGAGACACCCCCGGGAGGTCCGGGAGGTGAGTCTGCAAGCTTGCCGCCATAAACTGGAAGTCATTTGTTTGCTGTTGTTGACACTGGATCATTCAGCCCTATAAAAGTGTTTGGGCTGTCAGCAACAGTTCTCTGGCAGTTTTCGTTATTTCTGTTTATGAGGATATAAAGGGTTGGTATTGGGGATACTGAATCACCAGAATAAGATCTGAAAATGTGGAATCCCTCAAGTCTCTGTACGCCCACCAATTATTTTCAATGTTTATGTTAAGCCACTAAATGACATCATCTAGAATTTTAGAGGTGAGCATCATCAATATGCTAATGGCACTCAACTATATGTGTTTTTTCCTAACGTTCCATAAACTGCTGTCTCAGTCCTGAACTAGTGCCTTTGCCTTTCAATTTATTCCTCTTCATCCACTTGACTGACGCTTCGACAAAATCCAGATTGGTTGGAGGTGATGTTGAGTAGAAAAGCTGATGTTATGTAGGGGATCAGCTATCAACTCATAATGGAGTAATGTTATTAGTGGATCATATGAAAAATTTAAATAGTGGGATCTTGAACTTGAAGGTGTGTGCAGCCAAAATCTGCACTAGTTGAAATTTCTGAAATGTCTTCAAGTGCAGTACCATGCAGAGCTCTTCGAAGCAGTCCACTCTAGAAGTGACAGGAACATTAAACCAGCACAGCTAAGTCAACAATCTAGACAGAAAGAGAGTTTTCAAATAAAGT